TCTGTGTGATTTTCTCTGGGACTAAACGGCTGGGGGACCGGGCCGGACAGAAACCCAAACAAGCCTGGCCCTCATTGTTACACAGCATGATTGCAGTCTATTTTTTTTTCTATTTTCCTGCATAAATAAATAGCACCATGATTTTATTTTTATTTCTGGAAACTTTTATCATGCTCATACATAGTATTTTGTTGCCAATGAACCTGTTGATAGGTGCCTGGATGGATTCTGTATCTTGTGTCCTGTGATTGGTGCCACTGTGGACAGACGCAAGCAAGTACTGTATCATCAGTTTTTATTCATGTTAGTACACACCCTGAAGAGGCACGGCTGCACTGCCAATCGTTCTACATTTGTTTATGTATTTCATATTCATTTAGTTATTTATATGAGTATTGGTGCTTTGCTGTGCGTATGTTTGTAAAGCGTGTGTGTGTGTGTGTGTGTGTGTGTGTGTGTGTGTGTGCGCGCGCGCGTTCAGTGCCTACAGAGGGAATAAGAAGGCATTAGATCCCTTGCAACTGGCTGTGAGCTACCTTTAGTACTGGGAATTGAAACTGTGTCCTCTGCAAGAGCAGCCAATGCTCTTAACCACTGAACCATATCTCCAGCCCTGGTTATTATTATATAATGTAATGTATGATTGTATGCTATATAATATAATAAAATATACAGGGGTATGCCATACTAATTTGCATAGCAAACAAAGTACTTTACATTCCCCGGTATGTAGAAGGGATATTTTTCCTACTTCCTCACCAGCAAATACCTTTATAGTTGCTTGTTACTTGTTTTATTAATGCTAGCCTTTCTGAATGGAGAGAGATGGATTCTCCATGTAGCTCTGATTTGTGTTTCCCTGGTGGCTGAGAAGAGAGGACATTTCTTCCTGTATTTGCTGGCAGTTTCTACGCCCTCACCTGAAAGGTTTCTGCTTGTTTTGTGCATGTGTTTATTGGAATGTTTGGTTTTGGGGGCATTAAGATTTTGAGCTATTTATATGCACTGTGTCTCAATCTTCTGTTGAATATCTGGGAAGTATTTCTCCCATTCTGTACAATCGCTTTCCCTCACTGTGTGTGGGGGCTTTTAAATTTTACACAATCCGGTTTGATAATTCTCGCAATGCCCTGAGCTCCTCAAATCCTATACAGAAGAGATTGCCTATCCCTCTACACTGAAACCTTCCCACTGTTCCAATCTTACACTAATATCTGTTCCGCTTTGAGATGCTTTTTGCATAGTGTGGACCATAGAGATGTCATCTTAGTCTTTATGTCTTCACTGTTCCCAGCACGCTTGCTGCCTCTTTACAAAGTGTGTGTTTTGGGCGCTTTTGTTGAGACTCACACAGCTGTATTGCTGTGGGCTAACATCTGGTTTCTATTCCACTGGTCTACATGTCTGTTTCTGTGCCATTATCATGCTGGTTTTTTTTCTTTTGTTTCTTACCATGGCTCTGCACTGTAACTTGAAGTCAGGTGATGTTTCTGACACGCCTCTTTTTGCTCATTTTTAAAATAAAGTATCTCTTGCCATCATTTGGATGATATTTTCCTAAGAAGGCAGTGATATCCAGGCTCTTTAAATTCCAGCTCTAGACAACCAAGTTCATGTTTGAATACTTGGTCCCCAGTTGGTAAAACTGAGAAGGATTCGGTGATATGATGATATGGCCTTGTGGGAGGGGGTGTGGGAGGGGCTTTGAGGTTTCAAATCACTCATTCCCCTCATCCCAGAATAACTTCATCCCCACTGCACCTCTCTCTCTCTCTCTCTCTCTCTCTCTCTCTCTCTCTCTCTTATGTGTGTCCCTTGTGGTTGTGGATCAAGACTTGCGCTCTCAGCTGTTCCTGCAGTCTGCCACCATGATCTCTAACCCTCTGAAACCACAAGTCAAATTGTTGGACCCTAGCATCCAAACACCGAGGAGGAGTCGCCCCCAGAGACCACCTCTCACACCACAGCCGATGAAAAAGCATGAGGATTTTATTAATTCTGTCATGACAGGGTCTCCCAGCATTCAGGAAGCCGAGAGACCTCGAATAGCTGGTACAGGCTACTTTTAAAGGAGAAGCAAGGGGGGGGGGGGGGTTGTTCACTGACCATTATGATTGGCTTATTCGAAAGGGCTATTACCAATAATTGGCTGGAGAGCTGTTGCCAGATCAGATGAGGTAGGAGGTCATTTTGACCCCATTTCCCAGGGACTGAATCAAAACATACGTGTCTGGGTAATTGTTCAGGAACTAAGTCAACATCTTAAAGGTTATCTTGCCCCAATTTCTGGAGAACATACGTGCATGTGTAGCTGTTAGGTCCTTGGTTCCCAGGGGAGGAGGGGAAGCACTAAGGCACGGAGGCTGAGAGGGTTCAGAATTGTCTTAAAGTTTTACAAAATCAGACGCTAAGCTTTCCTCAGTCATGGTGTTTAGTCAACAGTAGAAAAGAAACCTTGAGCAGAGCCTCAGAAAAGCACCTGGTGTAGAAAATCGTTCAGGGCCACACCCGCAAGCTTCAATTTCATTATCCTCTTGCTATGTAACAAATACAACTAGCTCATGATCTCACCAAGCAGGTGCTGCCTTGTCTTTGAAACTGAATATTGTCTACACACGTGTAAACACTGGTTAAATAAATGCAGTCTAGAAAGTAAGAGTGGAGTGCTCTGTGGGTGGAGCTTGTGCCAGAACCCACGGTAAAAGAAGATTCCTGTAAGCTGTCCTCTGACCTCCACATGAGCCCCCCAACACACACACACACACACACACACACACACACACGGAGAGAGGGAGGGGGGAGGCTAGTAAGTAGCACATGCCTGTAAACCAGGCACACAGCTCAGAAGGTGGAGGCAGGAGGGTCTCAAGTCTTTCCAGGCAAGCCTCAGCTGAAAACAAGGTCCTGTCTCTAAATAAATAAACCTCCTTGCATAAGTCTATCATATAAGAGAGGGTTGGTTATGGGAGGAGAGTAGAAGGGGGTAGAGGAGGAAGTGGGGGTAAGAGAAAAATTTTAAAGTATTTCTTTCGACAAGCTTTGGTCAGAGGATGTGGAGAAATCAAGTTGATACTGACCAGGAAGCGTCCTCCCTACTGACTAGGGTTATCTAAAGACCCTCTCTCAGAAAGAAAAAAAAAAATTGAGACAGGGTTTTTCTGTGTAGCCCTGGCTGTACTGGAACTGACTCTGTAGACTGGGCTGGCCTCGAACTCAGAGATCTGCCTGCTCCTGCCTCCCAAGTGCTGGGATTGAAGGGGTGAGCCACCACTGCCTAGCCTTCAAAATACCTTTGGAAGACACAATTTATAACAAATGTATCTCTAGAAAAGCTTCAATATTTGAAAATTGAATACACTTTGTAGTTTGTGAGCACTGGAATGTATCTGGGACAAGCACACTGTGACGGCTTTCAGGAAAATTAACGGGAGAAATTTCTTTCCTTTGGTGAAAACAAATAAGGACACATCCGTATGGTCACATTTCCTTCAGTGTATCTGTTCACTCTGACTTTCAGAAAAACCTGGACAAGACCCAACAGCCTGAAGCTCCCTCTCACCTCTGCATCTCCCCAGCTTTTATTGGCCCTTGGAGTACAGATCTGTGAGCGCGTCTTGGAGCTTTGAGTGACCGAGTGGCTGGAAAGCTCTCATTCACTCCCACCCAAGCAAGACCTGCTTTTCTCATCTCCCTTCTAGCAATTCTATCCCAAGTTACTCAGCATCTAGAAGGTAGATGCAATGGACACATTTCCTCTTCTCCAGGAGGGAATGATGCTTGAGATAGACGGTGGGAGTAAGGGCATCCCAGAGCCAGGTGTGGTGGCACACACCTTTAATCCCAGTGCTAGGTGAGGCAGAGGCAGGACCTGTTGGTTCAAGGCCAGCCAGGACTATAGAGTTGAAATTCTGTCTCAAAAATTAGGGGCTGAAGAGATGCCTCAGAGGTTAAGAGCATTGGATGTTCTTCCAGAGGACCCCAGGTTCAATTCCCAGCAACCACATGACAGCTCACAACTGTAACTCCAGTTCTGGAGGATCTGATACCTTCACACCAATGCACATAAAAGTTAATTAAAATAATAAAATTACAAATTAAATGTGCCTTCAGGCTAGTACATAACCCTGTAGGTTACTGTCACCTATTGTCAGTGCACGGGGTCCCATTCCCCAGGACATAGTTGACATCAACTCATATTGGAAGCACACCTATTTAATATTTGACTTAACATTTAGTAGACTTACCCAGAACTTACAGTTTCCTTAAGGCCCAAAAGAAAAAGGATCCAGAACTAGAGCCTTTTAGGTATTTTAAGGGTTTGGAGGTTTCGCCCCCACTGTAGAAATCTGTAAGTGGCCCTTTAGGTCAAGCTCCTGCACAAGGATGTCTATGAAGTATATCCCATCACCTCAAGTTCCCTGCAAACCCTGTGCGCCTCCGAGACCCTCACTCACGCTCCCACTAAAGACAGCAACAGAGATGGCTCCTTTGTCAGCTAAGAACTACTGCAGAGGACCCAGGTCAGTTCTCAGCACTGGTCCAGACCAGTTGGGTCAGAGTTCCAGTCCCACGGAGAAGATTGAAGACCAAAATAAACAGAGATGACAGGAATCAAAAGCTGGGTCAGAAGAGCTACCAGCAACACAGCTCTTCACACCTCTCACTCAGGGAAGCAGAAGATAGGACATCTGACAGGACCAGAGCCCAGGTATCTCAGGCTCCCTCTCAGTGAAGTTCACCACGGAATGGCAAATGCAGCATCTGACCACATATCTAGGTGGGAAGTGCCAAGTACCAATTCCTACACTACAGGCCCCCAGGCTCTGGCACCACCCTGGCTGAGGGACAAAACACCTACATCCCAACATCAAGACCTCCAGGCAGTCTCTAGCCCAGTGTAGACCCCAACAGAGCACCCACGCTGAGCAGCTCAGTCATGTGATTCCAGCTCCTGGGACATCCAATGTTTTCCACTCAAATGAACACACAGACACACCAACCCACATATAACTAAAAGTAAAATCTTTAAAAGAGACAGAGAGGGTCTTTATTCAACAGCAGCTTGGAGCTGATGCCGCCATCCCGAGATCTATGTCACTTCTCTGGATCTTTGCAGGTTCCAGCCCGATTCAAGAGATCGCACCTTTTATATGTACTTGTACACAACCTTGGAGGGCACAGTTTGAAGGTGGAGTCGCACAGGACACTTGTAAAAGTGTGACAACAGAGTCTCACTGTAGCCCACGAGAAAGTAGAATTTGTGTGCCGGCAGCTGCCTCAAGACAAGGGCACAGATGTCCACTTGGTTGGCACGGCGCTTCAGAACGATCTGGTCAGCCAGGCAGCCTGGAAAGGTGCCCAGCATGAATTTTCGAAGGAAAACATCTTCCACTGTTCTCTCTGCAGCGTGATCTTCTCCATCCAGGTTACCTGAAGAGGATGCAATAGAAGAGTCAGCCAGGTGCAGATCCACCAGACCTGACATTCAACAGGTCTGGACACTCAGTTCTATCCTTGCCCCAGCCATTTCCCTTTTCTTCTGAGGGAGGAAGACTAACATCTTAAAATTCAAAGCCCAAGGATACCAAGATGGCTCAGCAGGGAAAAACGCTTGCTGTGAAAGTCTAACAACCAGAGTTCAAGCCCCAAAGCACACCTTAAGAAGCCAGATGCACTTTCAGTGCTGTTGCTGCCTTTGAGTCCCTGTGCGCTCATCCATGAAGTAATCCATTAAACTCATTAGTCCACACCTCCCCACAAAAAACGCCAGATGCAATCGCACACATCTGCAAGCCCAGCAGTCTTACAGCAACGTGACAGGTAGAGACAGGAGAATTGCCCAGAAGGCTGGAGTACAAACCACAGCAGACAGAAGACAGACACCCTGCCATTGCTCTACACGGCAGCTTCTCCAATTAGCTCTATATCCCTCCATCTCTCTCTCTTTCTCTAAACCCTTCCTCAGCTCTGTCAAACTCTGGACAATTATGTTACATTTTTGGGGCCTGACCCATTCTCAGAACACATGGTAAGTCACGTAGTTTCTCTTAGGCTAGAGAAGTCACATTGACTGGCCAGTGAGTAACGCTTGGTCATTCACATAGCTCTTTCCCAGACAAAAAAATGACACTGGAATTCAAGACTTAACAGTAACAGGTAATTAGCTGGACCTTGAGTCATAGGAAATACGTGCAGAAAGTCCATTGCTGCAGGGAGCTGGCTACTAAAGTTGCTTCAAGCTCTGACCCTGAATCAGCAAAATGCCAGGGGAAATGACCTCGTGCATTTGTCTCTAGGGGCAACAAGCCTGCTATGAATTTGTTCCAGAGTCTAAAGTTAGCTGTCTATGTAAAACGTTATCTTTGTGACTGAGACTCCTATGTCAGCCTGAGTAATGCAAAATATCCTAATATTATTTCTATTGGTCAGAATTACACAGATTAAGCAGAAATCATCTTCCTGACCATCCACAGCTGTATGTACGCCCAATAGATGGAATATATAGATGAGAAAAACACACAAGCACTGGGAAAACACAACAGTGCTTAGGGAAGAAATGAAGTGAAACATGAGAAAAATTGCAGACAGGAGCAACCAGTTTCCACAGCCAGTGACCCCATGGACTTCACCAGGTGAGGCTCCCCAACAGGGAGTTATACATCTGGTGGGTCGACTTGTTAAATACTAGCTGTCATCTGCTGTGTATAGTCACGGCAGCTCTCAGCACCTGGGTACCGGCAGCCATGCAGTATAGTTTCAAAGACTCCGACCTCAGGGACTCAAAGGTGTATCTTACATGTTTTATGGGATGGACGGGGCTAGGCATTGAGCCCAAGAAACTGTATTTTACATGTGCATCCTATTGAATGTTAATTCAAGATGAGAGCACATGCTGAACAAAACAAATCCTCATTAGTTCACTACAGTTATGTTCTATCTACACCATTACGCACTGAGCTAGTGAGTTCTGAGCCACTGCCCAGTGGTCATTCACAGCAAGCTTTGTACAAGCCTCTATCAACAGATTAATACATAACTAATTTTATGTGTCCTTCTATTTAAAGGCACTGCTAATACATATATGGTTGACTCACTAATATTGAGCTCTAATAACCCAGGCCTAAGTAAAAAGTTTATCTAATAAACATTTTCTCCATAAAGCATGTCAGTTATCTTGAGCTCACAGGAACATGAGACAGCATTTCAGGGTCAAAGTGTCATACCCCAGTATAGGGTACAGTAATGGTTGAAATATGGCTCCAGACCAAAATGACACATTGACCACCTAAGCTTGTTCTACCTCAGCTGGGAACCCATGTGTGAGCCTTGCTCTGCCACTCCCCTGAATGACCCTGAATGACTTTGGGGTTACGGATGAATTTTAATCTGAGCCAGGCAGACAGCTCAGCAGGGGTATAGACGACTGCACTACTGTGAGGACCTGAGCTCAGATCCCCAGAACTCACACATAGGTTGCCTTAACAGTGGCACCAGCAGCTGTCATCCCCATGTTCCTACTGTGAGATGGAGGGCAGAGGCAGGAGAATCCACAGAAACATGCGAACTAGCCTGGTACACACAGCTGTTGACAACAAAGAAACCTGTCTCAAACACATGAAGGTAAGCACTGGTCTGAGATGTCTTGACTTTCACATACATGCAGAGTCATAACGTACACCTGCACTCACATGTACAAACACAGGTTAGACACTTTACACATGAACACCATACATACAGATTATTAAACACACACACACACACACAAGGACTGGGAGTTGAAACTCCAGTATCTAAAAAATAAATACTCGGCTGGTGATAGGGTGCACACCTGTACGCACAGCACTGCGAGCTCCAGGCAGCCTGAGGCGCACCGCCAGACTCACAAAGATGGTTCTGCAGACAACGATCCCTGGGACCCATATGGTAGGAGAGAATTGACTGTGACAAATCACACACACACACAATGCATACAGAAATGGAAATGCATTAAGAAAAATAAAAAGCAGGAGAGGGTGAGCAAACAGCCGTCTGCAAACACGGGTGTGTAACAAAGACCGAGTGTGATACGTCTGCGCAGTCTGTGCTTTGCATTATTAGGGCTCTCTTCCCAGGTCTAGGATTCTGCGCAGACTCCACTAATCTTCGCCTCTGAGTTCTTTCACATCTCTCTAAGTAATGTCGAATCTTGTTTGTAGGCATGCAGATACTGCCTTCTCTGGCAAGCTTTTGTATAAGCTCAATGGAGACCTTAACTCTCACCGAACAAGGAACGCATCCTAATCTGTGGGTCACACTGTAATGCGTGCAGGTGTGCTCCTCGATGGCCGTATGAAGGAAACTAGGGATTACTGCCAACGAGTTCTCTGTTTCCATTTACTTATTTGTTTCTTATATTTTTGGCAAGACAACAGCTCTTTCGAGACCGGCTGGCTAGTTACCCCAAGGTCGGCCTGTCGCCATCATCCTCACAGCCCTGAGCTGTAGTCACAGGCCCACCAGTTTTACATTGAGGAGCCGGGCGGGTCCTTATGCGCGAGCGACACTGCACTTTACTAATCTTATTCACTTTTCCAGGCCCATAACTCGATGTCTTTTACTTTTATTTAACTTTATTTTTTCTTGCGACAAGGTCACACTACGTAACCCTGGCTAATCCCGAGTGATCCGGAGCGCTGGTATTAAAGGGGTTCGCCATCACCCAAAAATTCGGATCTTTAAAGGCCTTAAAGAACAGGTTAAAATGTCACCCGTGCCACCGTTTCAGTCAGACCGGGTGCCCTCACCTGTGTGCAGCGACAGCCAGCCCTTTCGGTGCGCAATGTGGTGCGGGGCGTGCGCCTCCTCGTAGCTCACCGGCTTGTCCCCCTTGGCCACACGGACTCGCGCCGCCCGGTTCTAGGAGCAAAGGGGCGGTCACGGGGCAGCCGGCCTCCTCCTCCTCCCTCAGACCCCCAGCCGGCGGGGCGGCCCGCTGCACTCACCTTGGCGCAGACCGCCGAGGTGTGCAGGGCGCGCCAGGCGCAAGGCAGCTCCCAGCTGCACGCCAGTACCTGCGGAGAGACCGAGAGTGAGCGGACACCGGGCGGCGCCCCCAGCTCTCCAGCCCACCCACTCGCTGCCCACTCACCCGCTGCCCACTCACCCGCCGTCCCAGGCCGCGGACGGACGCGGACGACGCCATGTTGGACGGGCGCAGAGCGGTACGCGCCAACGCGCAGCCGCGGGAAGGAGGCGCCGCGGGGCAAGAACCAATAGGAGGAACCCGGGCAGGGAGCGGAGCGAGGCGTGGTGTGGGCGGGTCGGGGTGCCGCCCGCTAGTCTGTTGGATTTTAAAGGCGAGAATTTGATGATATAAAACATGAGATTTTTTTACCCTCAAGGAGCAGGTGGTAGGCAAGGCTTCGCGCCAGCCCTTCCGTGCTCCCACCCTAGCCAGCGTTTTTGCCTGCAAACCCCAGCATCAGCCTCCCTTGGCCTGGGAATACAGTCGTTGGCCTTCGCCTGCTCAGATCCCAGAGAAGAGGTTGCTGGGCTGATTCCTAATCTTTTAAAGTGAGGGGAAAGAGAGGCATTGTATTGAGGGTGCGTCTCAGCGGCAGAGCCAGACAAGGAAGACAGTTTTTAAAGGGCAAGCAGATTTATGAGAATGTGACAGGGCCAGCTAATGCTCAAGCTAGAGCGGTGCAGATGTAATTAGTATTCAGAAATTATTAAAGGTGCGGGGAGCAGGGGAGCACCGTGGATATTTTATTTTAGAACTCACTGTTCTAAAGTACATGGATGGACTCTGCTGTCTCGCTCTCATTATATAACAAATTCTACTAAGAATGGCAGGCGCCTTCAGAAGCGAACTCCTTTTAAACAGCACCTTGAAGGCATCCTTCCGGCAAGGCTTAGTGGTATATGCCTTTAATCCCAGCACTCAAGAGGCAGAAGCCAGCAAATCTCTGAGCTGGAGGTCAGTCTGATCTACAGAGAGAAATCCTGTCTAAAATAAGAAAAAAAAGAAAAAAAGGCACCCTTTCCTTTATTTCAGATAAATGCTCAGGAAACGGACCAAGCGTGCATGAATCTCTCTTATCCAAAACTTTACATTTTTAAGCTTATGCGCCATGACTTTTGGCTAACCATACCCAAATACATGTCTACTGTTTTTCCTTCTTAAACCAGGACTTTAAAATGGGACTGGTCATGAGCACTTTTAATCTTACGACTTGCAAGGCAGAAGCAGATGGATCGTAACGAGTTCAAGGTGGGTCTACATATGGAGTTCCAGGCCACCAGAGCTACATAGAAAGACCCTGTCTCAAAACTCAACTAAAAGAGCATGATCAGGAATGCACTCCCCTGATAGTACTTACGATTAAGCCAACTCCTATAACAACATGTACAGGTTCTCTGGGTAAAATCCTCACTCCTTCCCTGTTCAGGAAGGGCACTGCTTTGGAAATAACTCTGTTGCTACCTTGCCTCTTGCAGGTAGGCAATGTTTTTCAAGACATGGTCTCCTGTAGCCCATACTTGTCTGGAACTCAATGTGTACCAGAAGCTAACTTTGAGCTCCTTGATCCTCTTGCCTCTGCCCTCTGAGGTGTGTACCACCTTGTCTGGCCACAGGTAATAATAAATCTTTCTCTACTCTTATATCTTGGCTATATTTATTTTGACTTTGCACTCGCCAAGAGGCAAACATGTTACATTTGTACAGTTCACCCTGGGTTCCATTATGTAGAAATGGAACGTCTCACCCATAAGGGCTAGTGACATGGCTCAGCTGATAAGGCACTTGCTGCCCAAACCTGCTGCCCTGAGTTCTATCCCCAGAGCCCTTGTAAAGGTAGAAGGACCAGAGGACCTCCCTGTGGCGGTATGAATGAGAATGGCCCCATTAGGCTCCAATCACCAGGGAGTGGAATTGTTGGGGAAGAATTAAAAGGTGTGGCCTCATTGTGTCACTTAGGAGTGGGCTTAGAGGTTTCAAAAGCACAACTAGCTCCCACCCCAGCCTGCAACTTGGGGATCAGATGTAAGTTCTTAGCTACTTCTCCAGCACAGTGTCTGTACCTATCTGCCTGTGTGTTGCCATCACCATGACGATAAATGCCTCTGAAACTGTAAGCCAGCCCCCAATTAAGTGCTTTCTTTTGTAAGTTGCCTTGGTCATGGTGTCTCTTCACAGTAATAGAACAGAAACTAAGACACTCCCCCACAAAGCTCCACATGCCCCTTGAGTTAGCACGCACACACATGCACACATATATAAAAATTTAAAAAATAACCACTTCTTTGAGCTGTTAGGATGAGGAAGGTTTTTAATAGTCAGGCATGATGGCTTACTCCTATAATCCCAGCACTTGGGAGGCTGAAGCAGGACTGCTTTGAGTTCAAGGCTATTGTGTACACAGAAGAGAGCATTTAATGACTGGCAGCTGGAATTGGTTCTGTCCGCCTCAACTGTGTGAAACTAACCACATTTGGCTGTTTGGGATATGCCTGGGTCAACTGGTGGGGTTCGCACACCGGTGTTTTCTGAGGGAAAAGGATTGGCCCTCCGGGGTGGGAAATAGATGGTTAGTGTCCTCGATGACCGCGAGGCAGAGGCAGAGCGACCAGTCTGTCGGCTCCCGTCCAAGCAGTTAAGTGTGTTCTATTAGAGACAGAAGCATGCTGGGGAGGCTTCCTCCATCACCCCTCACTGTATTAACTGAAGCCCGGGCTCCCACAGAGCCTCTGCAGACCTCACCAATTCAGCTAGTCTAGCCTGGCGGCTTGCTCCAGGGCTCCTGTCTTTCCCTTTTGTCTTGTTGTTGTATGAGATGTGAAGCTCTAACTGGCCTACAGAAGCAATCTGCCTCTGCATCATGCATCACCAAGCCAGGCCCGCCTCCCTCCCTTAAGCAGTGGGATGACAAGCTTTTCTGAGGATTTTAGGTCTCCCAGTTCTGATCCTCATGCACAGCCAACACTTTACCTCCTGGGCCATTTCCCCAGCCCAACCAGTGGAAATTTCATTTTTAACATTTGTGTGTGCTGTCTGTGAGTCTATGTCCAGTGTGTGCAGGTGCCGTGAAAGCCAGAAGAGCGTGTAGGGTCCCCTGGAGCTAGGGACTTGTGAGCTGCCTGGTATGGACGCTATGAGTGCAGGGCCTCTGGGAGAGAAGAAAGTGCACTTAACCACTGAGCCATCTCCCCACTCCAGGCGGGGACTTTCTAAGGGAGATATTTCTTCTACAGCATGCACTTGTGTTAATGCACTCTGTCGTCCCAGACATCATGCTGAAGTATCTCCAAGCTTTACAAATGAGACGGTAGAGGCTCCAGACTCACATAGTAGCCAGGTGCAGGCCTTGTTCAGAACCTGCGCTCTTGACGTATCTGGAGTTCACTTTTGGTACGGTGAAAATTCAGAACCATGCTAGTATGAGGGGGTGACCCCAGCCTTTGGGGCTAGGTAAGTGGCTGCTGGGTAGGGAGCAGCTTCAGTTAGGAGCAATCCCCACATGAATGGCCACAATACCCCTCCAGGCTCAAGGCCACACTGGAAGGGTGCATTGCTTTCTGATATGAGTTCTTGTTCTTCGCATGACAACCAGTAGCCTATGCGCTCAGAAGACAGAGCCCAACCAGCCTCATCTCCGTGAGAAAGCAGGTGCATGTTCCTTTTGAAATCCCCTCAGAGATTACAGTTTGCAGTGGAGTTGTGAACTAGTTTGGGATGATGATGATGATTATGTGTGTGATTATTGCCTGCATGTATGTATTTGTGCCTGGTGCTGCGTGGGAGGCCAGAAAAGGGCATCACTTATGAGCCACCATGTAAGTGCTGGAACAGAACCCGAATTCTCTGCAGCAGCAAGCACTCCTGACCACAGAGCCATCTCTCCAGCCCATGAACTAGTGTCTTAACTCATCTTTTGGGGAGGATGCCCCAAACCGCTATCTGCAGACCTTTCTGAGGGAAAGACCATGGCACTTTTCTGCCCAGTCCACCGGGTGGAGGAAGACCCTAGCTGCAGTCCAGATGTCTTAAAAATGATCTGTCTGTCCCTGCATAAGCAACAGTGTTCAAAGGCTGAGCTGTGGGATGACTTTCTGCACGAGCAACAGTCCAGCCAAGAATACAAGGCGTCACGAGAGTTTAGAAAGGTGTCTTTCTCACTTTCCCGTGGAGCCCTATCTGGTCTCTAGTTCATGGTCATTTCGCCTTGGCCTCCCAAACCATGCAATCCAGCCTTGGGTGTTCTTTACCACTTAGTGAAATCAATTCAGAGGGTCTGACACTCACTTTGTAAACCTGCTTCCTGGTAACTCCTCTTACCCAGTCAGTAAACAAGAACCCGGCACTTTTCCTGAGAAGTCAACCACTGAAGCCCACAAGCTAAAGCAGAAAGCAGCAGCACAGGAAGCCTGTGCAGCCTCCTACCTCATTCTTCCTGTGGAGGCACGGTTTAGCACACACCACAACCACACCTAACTTCAGCTCCAGGGCCCCGAGAATGCTCTCCCCTGACATCTGAGCGAAGGGCACTTAGGAAGGCTGAACAGCCCGCTGCCCAAGTCCGGGAAATTACTCGGGGTCCAGCTGAAGTTTGACTGTCAAGAGCAAGCAGTCCTGAAAACCTCTCCTAGGTCTTGGGCTAGAAATGTTAGCCCTTCAAATAGGCATGAGGAGCGGGCAAGTGACTTCCTGAAGTCAGCCAGCTCAGGCTGACCTCTTCTGTTCCGATGGTCTCTCTTGGCTTAGCTAACATCACAGAGTTCTAACATGTCCTGTTTGCAGGGGAGCCCCCTGAATGCCTCACCAAGACTAATTTGTTGTCCAGGTTTGACACATAAAGCAGCTGGGTCCTGATGATAGATGGAGTAACTTTATTAAGACGTTTAATGTTATTTAGCCTTTTGGTTTGTTTTGAGACAGGGTCCAGAGCTCACTATGTAGACCAGACTGACCTTGAACTTACAGGGATCTACCTGCCTCTGCCTCTTGAGTGGTCGAGGTATTTTTAGATAGGATCTCACCATGTACGCAAGCTGGTCTTGAACCATTCTCTTCCCTCAGTTTCCCAAATGCTCAGAATACAGATATGTAACCCCCATACCCTGTCCCTTTGAAACTCTAATCAAAGTTATAAAACTAAAAACTCTCTGCATATATATAAATCTTAGGAATCCAGATTGAATTTTATTTCTAGGCTATGGACAGACTTCATGTAAAACACACCTTTTATGTTCCTGAAGATGGGGGGTCTTGCTGTATACACCTTTATATTCTTGGAGATGGGGGTCTTGCTGTATAACCCAGACTGACCCTGGGCTTTGAAAATCCTTGTCTCTCAAACACTACGCACCAGTAACCCCAGCTAAAGAATCTTTCTCAGCTGTCATCAATCCTGACTTCCTTGTCTCAGATTTTAGGAACAATATGACACCATCTTTAAGGATACTGGTTGAAATTCAACAATTTTGAACTTCTAAGTGTGGGACTCTTGACTCGGCAGTGGTGACACACACCTTTAATCCCAGCACTCGGGAGGCAGAGGCAGGCGCATCTCTGTGAGTTTGAGGCCAGCCTGGTCTACAAGAGCTAGTTCCAGGACAGGCTCCAAAGTTACAGAGAAACCCTGTCTCGAAAAAAGAAAGAAAAGAAAGAGTGTGACTCTGAAGGTGGATACCCTAGCTTTATTATTAGCATGTGTGATGTGCATACCGGGGAGGGTGGCATGGCATGGCATGACGTGTGGAGGTCAGGGGACTTTATGGAGGGTTCTCTCCTCCAGTTTTACGTGTGTTCTGGGGATTGAATCCAAGTTGCCATGCTTTGCCGCAAGTGCCTGTGCCCTGTGAGCTACCGCACAGGCCCTCTGCCCGCAACAATTCTGAGAGCTATTTCTTGTGCTTCAGTGTAAATTTGGTGCTAGGAACGCTGGGTGAAATTTCTGCAGTGCGGGAAGGTGCCAGGGAAGTTTCTGTAGATCTGGTAGGAAAAGGGAGAGGGTGTTTTTGTTGTTTTTATTGTTACTTACTGGTTGGATTTTGTTTGTTTTTTTGTAGCCCTGGCTGTCCTAGAACTAGCTCTGTAGACCAGGCTAGCCTCAAACTCACAGAGATCCACCTGCTTCTGCCTCCTAAGTATTGGGATTAAAAGTGTGCACCACCACGCCCAGCTGGCAGACGTGAATCTTAAGGTAAAGAAAGGTTTGTTACTTCCAACTGAATCAGCACAGTACGGTCATCTTAATGCTCTGGGCAGGTCAAAGTTTGGAGGTCTGAGAGCCAGAGTCCCCTTTTCCTAACTGGGTCTGATAGCAGTGTGCCACGGTTCAGGACCGCTTCCCTCTGCCCACATGTCCAGACCCACCACCGGATCAAGGGACAAGACACAGGGGAGGCTCTCAGGCCACTGCCTGACTTCTGACAATAAACAAGCAAAAGAAATCCCAAAGCCTCCGCAGCAAGGCACAGTTAAGCAGAAGCTCTTAGGCCTGAGTTGTAGGGGAGTGGGGCTCTGAAACTCAGTGGGGTAACGGCTGATTTTCCAGCTGAAGAATCAGAGAGGACGAGCTCCAGGCCGTCCCTCACAGGGTGGCTACTTTGCTGAGGAGAGAGGTCAGAATGCTGGGGAAGGATTAAATGCACAGCAAGCAGGTCCTCTCTACTCATGTCTGCCATGCAGGGACGGCAGTCTGGGACTTCCTACTGTCAACCGCACATGGGGCAGGGACTAAAGTGCTGAAAAGTTACTATGATGGCATTATCCCCAGGCAACAGCCTGCTCCCAGACCCCTCCTCAGGGAAAGGTTGTCCTGAGCACAAGGACAAGGAAGGCACAAAGAGGCAAAACCTACACGCTACTATCATTGGAGCATTCATTCAATTCATTAGTTCAACAAACATTTATTAAGCGCCTATGTGTGCCAGGTCCTAGAGACCCAGAGCTGTATGGTGCTTAGGTCCTGCCCTCAAGCAGCTCACAGTCGAGGGGCAGACAGTAAACACACAAGTGACAATGTGCCATGAAGTGTTGAGGAGAAAGTGTGACAAAGTGCTGGAGCACAAAAGGGTGACTGACGAACACTTCCTGGGCAAGGGTCAGGGAGCGCTTCACACACCAGTACGTAAGCTCAGTGCCATGGCAGTGCCTTACACTTCGGTGCCACATCACCGAAACCTTGAAGGCTGGTCCACAAAGGACCGGTGGACTGAATGGAAGCAAAGCCTCTTTTGCTTCTTCAGAACAACCGCAACATCCCTGTCTGCCAGCACCTGCTGTGACTAAGGGAGCTGTTCCCTAATTCCAGGGACCAGTGAAGGAACAGCTACCCAAAGTTGGGCCAACTCCCAGGAGCCTCGACATGGGTTAGGGACAGAGAACGCCACTGCTTGGATCACCCCACACTGGGCCTCTATTCTCAATATTTCTGAGCCAGTCTGAGACTGCTTCTTAACACTGTGAAGAGGCCCTTAACTCCTGTCTTCCTTCTCAGGTGCAGCAAGCACCAGCCAACCCTCGGGTGCCAAACACAGCCTTGCTGGCTGCTGGCCCAACAGGCCACAGCAGGAGGCCCTACCCTCATGACATTCACAGCCTCCGCACCAGCTCGATGAGCTGCTGAATGTTTTGGTTTTGGTTGGACAAGCCATTCCTGATGTTTTCTAGCAGGCATCTCTTCAATTCAAAGATGGCCTCACTGTAGCCCAGGCTCACAGCGGCCATGGGGGGTGCTCCATGCCACAGGGCTGGGATGTGCCAGACATGCTGCCTCTCGGCCAGGCCTGCCAGTGTCCGGAAGCTGCTACCCTGCTTCTCCATGTGGGTAGCAGCCCTGCCCAGGTCGCTGGGCGGATCCAGGAGCTGCCTCCTGTCTCTTGGCTTGGGGCTAGGGACAGAGAGGTCATGAAGGTTCTGGTAGACAAACTGATAGTTGGGCATGTGCCCTGTTTTTTCTAGCCTTAGAAAAGCATGAAGAATAGCTGGTGGAATGTCCTTCATTTCAGCTAAACTGACCACAGTGACATTGCTTAGCCCCATTAGCAGCGTGGCCAAGGAAGCCTCCAGTTCGAACCTGTCTCCAGCAGAGGGCAAGGCCCCACTGATCAAACCCCCAGAGTCTATGACCAGGATCTGGTCACAGCCCAAGTCCTGGCTGAAGCCCTCAGCTACAGGGAGGAGCTGCATGAAGGATCCCCGGGGACTGCAACTCCTCCCTGTGGCAAACCGCAGGCCAAACATGGTGTTAAGGAGTGTAGATTTCCCTGTGCCTGGCACCCCCAGCGCAGAGAGAACCACTAGTCGAGATCTCCTGTCTAGGCGGACATGCAGCTCCTTGAGAAGCCCAGTGACCCAGCGAACAGGGATGCTCAGGGTGGCCCCATCGACCAGCTCCAGCGGCAGCCCACCCAGCAGCAGTTCCACAGCCAGGCCTGGGAAGTGGGCAAAGCGCCTCTGGCCAGCAGGCAGCCTCCCTGCCTCCACCAGGCAGCTCTCGGCCTCATAGAACTGCCCCATCTCCCGCAGGAAGTGCTCCACTCCCAAGGGCTCAGGCCAGTAGGGCTCATTCAAGTCTGAGGCCCCACCAAGTTTTGGTCTCAGGGTGAGAAGCGTCTCTGGAGGCTGTCTTGGCCGTGGCGAGCCTAGTCGAGCTAACCCCCACTCCATCCACCTCAGGAAGTACTGCCTCTCACCCAGGGAGGGGCTGCTTATCCCCAGAATGAACTCCTGTACCCCTGAGGTGGGCTCCTGGCCATTCTGCTGCACGCGGAGCTCCAGGACCCGACGTCTCAGCTCAGCCCGGTGCTTCTCTGGGGGTTCCGAGACCCACTGGAGCTGGCAGAACTCCCTTTCGACTTGGGCTGCCTTCCTTGCAGGGTCTCCCTGCAGCCTCAGCTCGTCTCTCTTGTAGGCATCCACATCCTTGATCTTCCTGATAATCTTCTCCATCCGCTCCTTCGCCTTCTGACACTCCTCCAAGTCCTCGTCAATTCTGAGGCCTAACTTCCGTGCCGCGTGTGCCATGTCCTCCACAGACAGCCTCCTGCAGGGAGAGCGCGCCACACTGCAGATAATCGCTCGGATCCGCCTCACAAAGCCCTCGTTGTCGGTGCTGCTGACCTTCACGAGGACATGAGAGTGGTCTATCTTCAACACGGGAATCAGCCTGTTGAGGAAGCGCAGGTTTGTGTTCCGTTTCCCTCGGTAGGGGCTCAGAATGAAGTAGTACTTTGTGGTTGACTCCTTCATGGAGTACAGCAGTTTGTATTCCTTCTTACTGATGTTGTCAGTCAGAATAAACACAGCAGAGGAGACTTCTGTCAAGAGCTTGAACTGCAGCCAGTGAGACCCAATGTCACCTCTCAAGTTCAGAAAGGCCATAGGCTCTGGGAAAACATCCAGGTCCTCCTTACCACTGGGGAAAAACCAGGAAATTTCTACCAACCCATCCGCAATCTCTCGAGAATTGGTGCCTAAATTGAGGTCCCGATGCCAGAAGCAGTCCCACTGCCGGCGAGCTGGGCTGAGGATGGCATTGAGCAGCTGGGACTTGGAGTTGCTGCTGACATCCATGCGCACGAAGGCAAAGGTGGGCACCCTGGACAGGACCACGCTATCTTCTCGAAAACTTCCAAGGCCCCGTGGGGGCTGGAAACAGCACGTCCGCACAACGCCCCGCAGGGCCCAGAGGAGAAAAGTGTGGTAGTGGTTTTCTGAATCAGGCAATACAAGCGGGAGTGCGAACTGGCAGAGGGACATCTTGAGTAGGACCTCCTGCTGCAGAAAGGTGTCTGAAGATAGCAGGAGGGCACAGAGAAGGTCCAGGGGGTTCACAGGTGTGTCGGGCATGGGCAGCTCAGAGAAGGAGTAGATGTCGTCTGCAGCCATGTCCTCAGCCGGGTCCCAGTAGATCATCTCCTCCTCCATCTGGCTCTCTTTCTCTGCAGGCCAGGCATCTGGAGGCATATCCAGCACCATAGTGGTGTTCCTGGCTTCAGAATTAAGGGCCTGCAGCTTCCTGAGGAAATGCCAGGGAAGGTCCTTGGGAACCTGAGGAGCCCAGTTCTTCATGCTGTCAAAACTGATCTGCAGGGAGTCCTGGAGGGTGAGCTTCTGTGCCTGGTATGTCTCCAGTCCCAACAAGGACAGCATTTCCTGAAACCTGCTTCTCTCCACTGAAGGGAAAAGAAATAAAAATGTTTAGCCTTCATTTTCAAGTCAGGGCCAAGGTAGAGCTGGAGAAAAGCCTAGCAGGAAGGAGTTGGAGAGGACATTCCTCAGAACAGGATGCAGGCCCAAGGGGCCCAGGATTTGCTGGGTTGACCTAAGACTGGAGTAGAAAGTAAAACCCTCTATCAACTGTGCCATCTAACTAAAACATGTAAGGCACTAACTGTAGGAGGGAAGATGGGCTGGCAAGATGACTCCGTGGTTAGAAGCACATACTGCTCTCTTCCAGAGCAGAGCACAAGTCCAGAGTTCATTTCTCAGGGCCCTTCTCAGGTAGCTCACCCTACTCGTGACTCCAACTCCAGAGATCCTGCAGCCTCTGTGGGCACCGACATCCACATCCATACACCCAGACTCATAACTAAAATGAATCTACAGCCAGGCATGGTGATTCATGCCTTTAATTCCAGTACCAGGGAAGCAGAGGCAGGTACATCTCCTACAAATTCCAGGCTAGCCTGGTCTTCACAGAGCATTCCAGGTCAGCCATGGTCACACAGAAAGACCCTATCTTAAAGAAAAGAAAAGAGAGAGAAAAAAATAAAGAAACAGAAAGAGAGGATAAGGAGGGAGGGAGGGAGGGAAGGAGGGAGGGAGGGAGGGAGGGAGGGACGGAGGGAGGGAGGGAAAGCCAGGAAACTGAAGAGTTACATTTAAGACTGGAGAGGTCATATTAATGCAGTGACTCTTAGTTTTTCTAGGTGTCTGCAACATTTAACTCTGAGCTCAAACCTAAGTAGCTAGAATGAGCAGACATGTTACTTAGGTGCTGAGCTCCACTTCTCAGTCCTCAGACTACAAGGGTATCTACCCCATGCTCAAGCCCAGTCAGGAATCTGGGGGCATGGTGAAACATGCCTGGAACTCCAGAAGCTCAAACAGTAGGACTGATGCAAATTCAAGACCAGCATGGTATACACAGCAAAAGCCAGCCTCAAGACCTGGAGGAAAAAATGTCACCAGGAAATTCCCATGAGAGCACAACCTCTAATCACATTCTGGGTTGTTTAATAAATGCTTTCTTGTTTTGTTTTGTTTTTTTTTTGTTTAATCTTTGTTAATAAACTAGAGACTGCTAAAAGGAAAACAGCAAACCATTGCTCAGCACCCTTTTGCAAACTCAAGACCAGTAATGCCGAGTTCTGGTTTGTGTTATGATTTTGGATTTTTGTGGTGCTGAAGATGGGAGCCTTCTGCACGCCATGCAAATGTTCTACCATGAAGTTACATCTCCAACCTTATTCACATATCAAGATATATAAACATATATATATTTAAATTCTTATTCTTGTTTTATTTTTGTTTTCAAACAGGTGTTCTATGTAGTCCTAGCTCTCCTGGATCTCACTACATAGCCCTAACTAACCTTAATCTATGCAAACCAGGATGGTCTCACAATTATACATCCACCTGAGCACTGGGATTAGACGTACACAGCACCACACCCAATGAGCATTGATATTCTAAGAAAGTCTCATTATGTAACTCACGCTTGCTATGGGATAAAGCTTTTGTACATTGTAAAGATTTGTCACTAATATTGGTTTAATAAAACACTGATTGGCCAGTAGCCAGGCAGGAAGTATAGGCGGGGAAACCAGACTAAGAGAATTCTGGGAAGAGAAAAGGCAGAGATGCAGTCACCACCCAGACGCAGAGGAAACAAGATGAGAATGCTTTACTGAGAAAAGGTACCGAGCCACAAGGCTAAACATAGGTAAGAGTTACGGGTTAATTTTTTATTTTTTATTTATTTATTTTTGGTTTTTCAAGACAGGGTTTCTCTATAGATTTGGAGCCTGTCCTGGAACTAGCTCTTGTAGAACAGGCTGCTCTCAAACTCATAGAGATCTGTCTGCCTCTGCCTCCCGAGTGCTGGGATCAAAGGTGTGCGCCATCACTTCCTGGTTAGAATTATGGGTTAAGTTGTAAGAGCTAATTAATAATAAGCCTGAGCTAATAGGTCAAACAGTTTATAATTAATATAAGCCTATGTGTTGTTTCTTTGGGACTCAATGGCTGCAGGACTGGGCAGGACATAAACTCCATCTACACATTCTAGCCTCAAAACTGTTAGGAGTGTATGTGTAAACTATCACTCCCTGTATAATTACTTGGGTTTTGGTGACTGTGAAGGATATTTTGGTCGTCAACTTGATTACATCTGAAATTTAACTAAAATCAAAAAATGGAGGGCACACCTGAAAGAATTTTTGCTTAATTTTAAATGGGAAGATCTACTTCTAATCTGGATCTTTGGGTTGAGGTGGTAAGACACACCTTTAATCCAGATCTCTTGTGGTGGGAAGACCCACCTCCAATCTGGACCAAACCTTCTGCTGGAAGCCTATATAGACACAAAAGGGGGAAGTTATTGCTGTTTGTCTGCTTGTTCTCACCCTACTAGCATGTCCATTTCTTCACTTGCATTAGGATTACTCCTTTGGGATTCTGGCATATACTGAAGACAAACTCAGACATCCAGCCTTATGGATTGATCAACTACTGGTCAATCTTTGGACCTTCTGTTCATAGGCTGCCAATGTTGGACTAGCTGGACCACAGCCTACAAGCCATTCTAATAAATCCCCTTTCTTTATATAAAGCTTCATTCTGTAAGTTCCATTACTCTATAGAACCCTGACGAATGCAGTGACAATAAGACATCTGGTGTGGACTGAGGCCTGGTAGACACTGAATGTCACCCTGTATAATGCAAACTTTATAAGTTAATGATCATAAAATTCTAACTGTATCCAGATCTTGGCCTGGGAGCTTACCAATGTTCATACAAATGTAAGTAGTTCACTTCTTATTTATTTATATATGTATTTATTTATTTATTTTGTAGTACTGAAATGGAACCAACATGCTAGGCAGTATTTCACCATTGAGCTACATTTCTAGCTCTTTTTCTTATTCTTTAACAATGAAGGTGGGGAGGAGGGGATGGTGTCCCCAGTCTTGTCTCAAACCTGTGAATAGATTCAAACTTTCTACATCTACCTTGGGACTACAGGCACATAACACCATAAGTGTCCAATAACATTGGTTTTAGGGCTCAGGCTTCTAAATGTATTTGTACAGGTGAGCTATGGCACATGTCTAGAGGTGAGAGAAAAACCTGTAAGAGTCCTGGGGAGCCAACTCTGGTCATCGGGCTCGGTAGCCAGCTCTTTTACCTCTGAGCCATCTTGCCAGCTCAGGGCTCCGAGTTCTACAGCAATATGGCTGAAGGATCACTTGAGAAGTTACAGGGGGAGGGGGTGGATGCTGTAAATTTGTTTTAAAAACAGAACAACTAGCCTGGTAATATGGTTCAGCAGATAAACCACTTACCTCCAAACCTGTTGACCTGAGTTTGATCCCTGGTATCCACATGGCAGGAGAAAACAGATCCTCAAATTTTAATTTTAAAAAAATCTATTTTTCTTTTATGTATATGTGTATTTTAACTGTGTATTATGTGCATGCAGTACCCAAAGAGGCCAGAAGAGGGCATCAGATCCTGCTGGAACTGGAGTAACAGAGAGCTATTAGCCACCAAGTTGGTGCTATGAACCAAACCCAGGTCCTCTGAGTCATCTCTCCAGCCCAAAATAAATATAATTATAAAAATAAATAAAAACAGAAAAACTACACAGGAATACTTTGCTTTGGCAGAAAATCTACATAACTATTACTCAGGTTTCCCTGTTATGCCCAAATGAAGCCAGGCACACACAACAACCTATGTTGCTTAAACAGCATGATCATCAAAGCAACTTGGGAAAATCACAAAAAAATAAAATTATTCTACATATCTACCCATACCCTTAGGAGACTATTCAGCAACTCTGGTCCCAATATGAAGCTATTGCTAGAGTTCCTAAGTTTTGATAACTGAACATTAGAATCACTTCAGGAACTTGCTAAAAATAAGATACATGAGGAAGCCTCTACTCACAAAGACAGTAACTCACGGTGACAGTATAAATAAGTTAAAGGAACAACTGGTTACTCCATAGTAAGTTCCCAGTGGTTTGGTTTTTAGCAACATTACTAATAGTTCATAAAGGGGTGATAGACAAGAAGGGTCTACAGTCAAATACCCAAGTTGATGTGATACAGACAAGTTTAGGAATTAGCACCTATAGGGTGCGCTCCTCCAGTAGAATGGAAAGCTGGAAAAAAAGGAGAAAATGCAGACCTGTCGGGAAGTCACTATCCTGAGCCTCGTTTGCACCATCTGTGAGAAAAGCAAAGGGAAATAAAGGGGTTAATCTAATAACCTGAAATTAATGTCAAATAGACTGACAAAGTAAATTAAGGGAAACAAATCCAAACCCTCTTTTTTAAAAACCAAAGCTGTAATTCCTAGAAATATAACCACACAAACCATCACGTCCTAGCTGTTTTTCACTTGCATCCACACCCTCCCCTTCCCAACCCAGGCTGTCCTCAGTCCCACAGTTTCTACCTCCATAGTGGAACCCGCAGTCATCTCCTTCCATTTCTCTCCATTCCAAATCTAGAAAGAAAGGGGACAGACGTTCACTTTATTAGCAGTTAGAGCCTGTCTACCAAGAAGTCTGCAGCAGCCTCTGCCGACTGTTGGGACTACAGTGAGCATTCCTCAAATACTCAGGAGCAGAAGTATCTCCAGGTTAGATTCTGGAATAAGCCAAGCTTAAACAGAAACAAAGACTGGAAATAAAGCTACAGCTCTAATACGTTTTTTTTAAATCAACCTTACGATCTCCCCATAATTAATAGATAAACCTTTTTGGTTTTTGTGTTTTTGAGGGTTTCTCTGCATAGTACTAGCTGTCCTGTAGACCAGGCTGGCCTCGAACTCACAGAGATCTACCTGCCTCTGCCTCCAAATTGCTGGGATAAATCTAACATTTTAAACTGTCTCTTTTGATAATTTTTCTGGAAAAAGAGAGAAATAAAGGAGGGTGACTATTGGAAGCAGGATGATTTGAATAAAAACACAAAAGGACTCAAGAATCAAATCACAATGTCCAGAAATTAAAAACATACTTACTCAAAGTGAAAATAAGAGTCTAGAAAAATTATTTTTCCCAAAGAATTCAAAATGTAGTGTGAAGAGAAAAAATAACTAGAGAAGAAAATAATAGCCAAGTATAGGGGTTGGAGAGACAGCTCCGAGGTTAAAAGCACTTGATGCTCTTGCAGAGAGGGCCAAGGTTCAGTTCCTACAAGGTGGTTCATAACTGCCTGTGACCCCAGTTCAGGGAAACAATACCCTCCTTTGGCCTTCTATGGGCACTGCACACACATAGTGTACATAAATGCAGGCAAAAATAAACATATTTTTTGGTTTTGGGGGTTTGGGGGGTTTGTTGTTGTTGTTGTTGCTTTGAGATAGGGTCTCTATGTAGCTCTGAATGTCCTGGAACTTGCTATGAGGTGAAGCTGGCCTCAAACTCACAGAGCTCCATTTGCTTCTGGCTCCTGAGTGCTGGGATTACAGCTGTAGAGCACTATGTAAGACTGATAGTTTTTTAAGAGGCTGGCCTGATGGCACATGTCTGTAATCCTAGGCTGTCCCTCAGGAAAGTAGCAAGTTAAAGAAGTAATTACACTAAGTTTCAGACCAATATTTGCAATTTAACAAACTATGTTTTAATAAAACAAAGGCGAGAAGGGGGTATAACTGTGACTCAGGTAAGCCTGACATAGCAGGTCTGAGGGGCACAAGGGCAGAGCATGGCCCAGCCTCTACCACGGAACTCACATCCTGTAAGAACTGTCCTAAGCCCAGGTGGAGGAACTGAAAGTGGGGCGCTGTGAGCCACAAGCATGATAAAGTAACAGAACAACTAGCAGACCACTAGACAGAATCACGGGAGTGTATTCCAATGAGAAACCCGATCTGCAGAGCTTCGGGAACACCCGTCTTTTGATGGAATTTGTCAATTCTGTACACATCTTGTGAAGCCATAGCCTTCCTCCTTTCCATAGTGGGATCATCCCGAAACATCCCAGTAGTGTATAAATCATTCCTTAGATATGACTTTTCCTGTACTGGCAATTGGATAGGGAGGGCCCTGGTGTGAAAGCATTCACTCAACCAAACCTCATTGACTGCACTTCTGACAAGGAAGGGACCTCTGCTCTGGACCACATGGGAACCTCAACAGAACAGGCATTGAGCAGGGGGGATAGCACATCTACCTTTACTGATAGGTCTGGGCGGCCCTAAAATCTCCGACAGCCAACTCAGGAGAGTATAACCTATTGGTCTTTGCTCTACCCTAACAAGCTATTAATATTCTATACTTACTTCCACCTCAATTTCACTGACACAAGATCTTAGTCTAGAAAATTAACTGTTTGTGCCTTTACCCCTAGAAATACTGGAAAAAAAGCTTAGATTGTTAAACCAACCCCAGAGGAAGGAATTCCTTCTCATCTGGGTGCCAGAGGATACAGCACCCCACAGCACCCCGTTGGCCCCAGGGGGGGCCAAGCGACACCTACTTTCCTTCTGCAGCTTATGCTGGTTGCCATGGTTACCACAATACTGTGTTCCCAGCCACCACTGAAACAGAAGTGCTCAAAAAGTGCAACAGCACTGCGTCGTTACTCTACAATTATTACTCACAGACTTCTAGCCTAACCAGTTAGCACACAAACCCCCTTCTTCCCGTTTTAGGATTCTGTACTGACTTAATCCTCCCGGTATCTATAGGGGAGGTATCTACAGCCATGCCCCCTCTGAGACAGTAGTAAGACAACTGGTGCCTACTTCATTCATCTTGCTAGCCCTAAGAGATGCATACTTAGCATCACTATTATTTACCAGAGAATTGTTAACTATGTCTGTGTGATATATAAACTGGAAACGGTTGGGATTGGGAGGAACATTGAGAAGAAACATTGAAAGGGAACAGCAAGAAACATCAAGGGAGCATTGAAAGGGCACTAAAGAAAGCACTGGAGGGAGCACAGGAAAAATAAACAGAACACATGTGAATTAATTTATTTATCCTCAGGCCTTTTTAGTCAGTTTTCACCTGCTATAGCTTTCTTTCTAAATCCTGAGAGGTTTAGGGGGGCTGGCCCCCCCCAACATAAGCCTTGACAGTGGAGTATTAAAGCATTCTCACTGAAACAAAGTGATCCTTCTCTCCCGATTATTACAGTACCTAACACATGCTTGCTAATTTTCCATCAAGACATAGGCTATTTGTTACCAAGCAGTACTTCTGAAATTGCCATCTTATCTGTAAAATGCAATAACAGCCTATAAATGCCTAGCAACAAACACTAGAATATTGTGTTCTTCATGACAGTAAATAAACATCTACCATGTGACTCCTCAAGGCTGTTAATGCTGGTAATAATAAAGCTCATAGGTGGTCCCACACCATACACAACAAATTAACTTAAAATTGTTAAACAATATAACCGTAAGAATTAAAAATCATGAAACTCAAAGCCAGGTGGTGGTGGCACTAGCCTTAATCCCAGCACTCAGAGGCAGAGGCAGGTGGATCACTGAGTTCAGGGCCAGCCTCGTAGACAGAGCAAATTCTGGGATATTAGAACTACACAGAGAAACCCTGTCTTGAACACTACCCCACCACCCGAAATCATGAAACTCTTAGAAGACATGTGAGTAAATCTTTGTAACCTTGGATTTCATGCTGGATTCTTAGATGTGATACTAAAGAGGCAGTTGACAAAAGCAAAAGATAAGTAAAAACATTGTGCATCAAAGAAAAATATCGAGAAAGTGAAAACAGACAGGCATTGTGGCTACACCTTTAGTTCCAGTACTCAGAAGCAAAAGCAGACAGATCTCTGTGAGTCTGAGGCCAATCTGGTCTACAAATAAGTTCCAAGCCAGTCAGAGCTATTTAGTGAGAACCTGTCTTTAAAAAAAAAAAAAAAAAAAAAAAAAAAAAAAAAAAAAAGTGAAAGCCTGGTGTTGGTGGTGCACACCTTTAATCCCAGCACTAGGAAGGCAAAGGCTGACAAATCTCTGTGAGTTCAAGGCCAGCCTGGTGTACAGAGTGAGTTCCAGGATGGCCAGAGCTACACAGAGAAACCCTGTCTTGAAAAAAGTAAAAGCAGAGCTGGGAATGTACTCAACGGCACAGTACTCTATATTTTGAGGCCCTGGGTTTGAATCCTAGCAGCAAAAACAACAACAACAACAAAACACACAACACACAGACATATACACAGTGGGAGGTAAACACAATGAGACAAAATATTTACATATTATGTACCTGTGTCTCCAGTAAAGGTCTAGTATTTGCACAACTTATAGCTTTATAAGAAAAGAAACAATAACTCCAATGAAGTATGCAGAGACTTGAACATCTTAAGATGAAATCTTTTCTACAGAGAGAAACAAAGCCTTGAGTTTGTTTGCGAGGTCCAGAGTAACCCAGCCCAGGAAGAGTACAGACTCCAGAATCCCAACAGACAGAAGAAACCCAGCTATTTCAGAATGGTCCAGTCTGGTTTACCTGCAATTGCCACGGATGTTTGGCTGTCTGAAGCTTTTACTTCTGGGGCCACTTCTCCCAGATCTGAATGCCTGAAAATTTTTCAGAAGAAAATTATCAATAAAATAATACACTACCACTTTCACCTAATCAAATCTGCTGCATATAAATAACTTTTGGGGAGCTTTTAAGAACTCTAACTCAGGCTGTTGAAATGACTCAGTGGTGAAGAACACATACTACTCTTCTGCAGGACCTGAATTCAGTTCCCAGCACCCACACATACACATACAAGAATAAAATCTTTTAAAACTATAAATTCTGGATCCATCGCAGATCCACGAAATAAGACCCTCTGGGAGGTGGTCCTGGGTATCTCTGCTTTTGAAGTATTCTCTATGACTCCAACGTACTGTCTAATGGAGACACACTAGCCTGCAAATACCACCAGAGCTTCTGGCCACTCAGAAAGACTCAAAAACATACATACCCTTTGACCAGTAATTCCACTTCTATCCTAAGGGAAAAATGAAGACTTGGTTACAAAGATGTTCATGTGAGCTCCCCATTCTATAGCAAAAGCTATCAAAGCCCAGCGACAGAATCACAGTCCTGTTCTGCAATCAGCACACAGAGGCTATGGGCTTCTTTTTGTGAGTAGAGCAACTTTAGGTGAACTATTATGGAAGAACACTGAAGGCATGCCGGTTAGTAGGGAATGAGTTACAGGACAATGTAATATAAAGATGATGAAATTATGGACGTTTAGAGAGAGATCTAGAAATGTTCACCCCAAATGTCTATAGTGTAGAGCTGTGTGTGGTAGCACACCTGGAACCCGGCACTCAGGTGCTGAGGAGGAGTATCTCAGTTTCAAGGCCAGCCTGGTTAACACAGCAAGACCCTGTCTCAAACAAACAAACAAACAGTGTAGGCAGGAAAGGGTGATCATTTCTGTTTGTTTTCATTTTGTGCATGTGTATGGCTGAGGTACAAATCCAGGGCCACCCACATGTTAAATGCTCTACCACTAATCTATAACCCCCAACCCAACACTACAGAAGCTGAGGTAGGACAATTGCAAGTTTCAAGCCCAAACAAGGCTACAAAGATGGACCCTGTATTCAAAAAATCATTTTAGGTGTGTCATAGAAACAGCAAACATGAGCCAGAGACGGTTCGGCAGGCAAAAGGGCTTGCTGACAAACCTGACACCCGAGTTCCACCCTAATAACCCACGAAAGCAGCTAGATGCAGCAGCACCCCTAGACCTCAGAATTCCTCTGGCAAGAGATGAGACTGAAGGCAGAGATGGGAGAACAGGCCAGTCAATCTACGGTAACCAAAAGGACAGCAACAGCAGAGGAGAGACCCCCATCTCAAAAGCAAGATGGAAGAAAAAAGCAGACTCCTGAAAAGCTGTCCTGACTTCCACATGTGCACATGAGAGTGCCTTACATACATATACACACACATACATAGCACACACCCAGGAGCACACATGTGCACATGAGAGTGCCTTGCATACATATACACACACATACATAACACACATGAGAGTACCTTACATACATATACACACACATACATAACACACACCCATGAGCACACATGTGCACATAAGAGTGCCTTACATACATATACACACATACATAACACACACCAATGAGCACACATGTGCACATAAGAGTGCCTTACATACATATACACACATACATAACACACACCCATGAGAACACATGTACACTTGTACATGCATACATGCACACACATATAAACACAAGTGCATACATGCATGCACACACACAATTCTTTAAAAAAGAGAGCAAACGGCCAGGCCGTGGTGGTACACACCTTTAATCCCAGCTGGGGGCAGGGAGAGCAGCATGGACACAGACGCAGAAGAAGGTGGATCTGAGTTTGAGGCCAGCCTGGTCTACAGAACGAATTTCAGGACAGTCAGGGCTACACAGAGAAACCTAGAAGAAGAAAACAACAACAAAAGAGAGAGAGAGGAGAGAGAGAGAGAGAGAAGAAAAGTGGGAACAAGCAAACCTGAGGGTAAAGGTTCTGACTGAAGATGAACACATGAATACTGGGCATCCATACTCAGATGTGTGCACACACCTATGTCCATGCGTGTCTGTTTGTACCTGTGTGTTTCCTGTCTCTGTGTCAGACAGAGCGGAGCTATGAGCATGTCATTCTTTACTGTCACTTCTCACACGAGAACTCAGGACTTCTTGGAGATGCTGGCTAACACCTTGACTAAGGGAGAGAAGAGGACCCAATCATTTAGATGTGGATGAACAGAAACTCTACAAAGTCTTAGGGATGTCTCTGAATTTATGCAGCTGCTCAAGTGGTATGGGAAGTCCTGTATGTGTGTTGCTTTTATGGTTAAGAAAGAAGCTGCTTTCAGCCAATGGCTTAACAGAATACAGCCAGGCTGGGAGAGATATACAGAGAGAGAGAGAGAGTAGCCGGAGTCAAGTGAGAAGCCATGTAGCTGCCGCTGGAGACAGACACCTCCTCTGGAGCCCTCCAAAACTTTGTCGGCCCACGACTGTGTGTTGATACACAGATGAATAGAAATGGGTTAATTTAAGATATGAGTTAGCCAGAAGTACGCTTAAGCTATTGGCCAACCAGTATTTCAAATAATATGGTTTCTGTGTGATTATTTCGAGTCTGGGTAGCCAGGAACAAACAAACAGCCTCCAGCTACACTCAAGGGATTCCCACTTACCAAAACTGGAATAACATGACCAGGAAAAGAATAAAATATAATCAGTAAAATGACAGAGCTGGAGAGATGGCTTAGTGATTAGGAGCACACATTGCTCTTGTAGAGGACCTGGGTTCTATTCCCAGTACCCATATGGTGGCTCACAACCATCTACAGCGCCAGTTTCAGGGGTCCTCTTCTAACACCAAGCAGGCATATGGTGCACATGATACACATATGCAGGAAAAACATTCATATGTATAAATAAATCTAAAAAAGAAAAAAGACCGAAAACCTATTCAGTAGTGGGGGTGCATGCCTTTAATCCCAGCATGTAGAAGGCAGAGGCAAGGAGATCTTTGTGAGTTCACCTACGGCTTCATAGTGAGATCCTGTCTCAGAACAAATAAACAAGAGAAACAAAACAAAATCCTGAAAAGCAAATAAATTTGTCCATATAAACAGCTCAAGCACTCTTGCTCACAGAATAATAAAAGTGGAAGCATTTCAACATTAACTGTGCCATCAAGCCCAGAAGTGATGGCGCACACTTCTGGCAAAGATAAAGGCAGGTGGATCTCTGAGTTTGAGGCCACCCCAGTTTACAGAATAAGTTCTGGGATAGCCAGGACTACACAGAGAAACCCTGTCTCCAAACAAACAAACAAACAAAGAACAGTACCACCCTTCAACTGTTGAAATCAGAGTAGTGTCAAGCAAAAGTGAAGGGCCAGCAGGGCTACTGGGGGACAAGCTGTCTGCTCAGTCCTAGAGTGTCCCTAAGAGGTGCAGGGAGAAAACAACGGTGATTACCACAGAGTCAAGTGATACTTCCTGAGTTGATCCCAACTAATCTTAACAATGAAGTCAGGCCTTAGTGTGGTGGATCCACTGTGGCCTCTAAGTGTTCTGTCCAAGAAGGCAAAACCAGGCCATAACAAACTGAAAACAAATGGCATTATACCAGAGGGTGAGAGATAAAGTATGACATGTATGTCATAAGACAAAGGAATCATTCCAGAAAACCAAACACAACAGCTGATCCTAGATTATATCCTGAAGAAGAAATTTGGGGGCAAAATAAAAATGAAATATGGGTCCAATCAATGTTAACTATGCTGTGGTTATATAACAGAATATCTTATTTCTTAGGAAACAGATGGAAGGGCATAAGGGGAAAAGTACCAGGAAGAAAGCAACTGATTCTCAGGCTGAATGTACTTGGTACCTCAAAGTTCATTATGCCCAAAGCCTAAAACCAACGTGATGGTATTTGGAGTGGGGTTTTGGAAGGTGATTAGAAAAGCTCTCAAGAATGGGATTATTAAGTAACAAAAGAGGCCCTCAAAAAAAAAAGAAAGGAAGAAAGGAAGGAAGGAAGGAAGGAAGGAAAAAAGGAGAGTCTGGCCGGGATGTAGGTCAGTGGTGGGGCACTGGCATGGCATGTGCAAGGCCCTGGTCTGAGGGCAGGACGACAAGTGAGACAACAGAGCAGAGTGAAATGATACAGGAGGTCAGCAAGATGCTCAGAGGATTAAGGTACTTGCTGCCAGGCCTGACAACCTGAACACAATCCCATCCATCAACATGATGGAAGGAGAGAACGAGCTGTCCTGACTTACACATGCTTGCATGCTTACAGGTGTACACACAGGTACATATGCACTCATGCATGTGCACATACACACTAAATAAACAAAACATAAATTTAGTGTGTCTGGTTAAACACAGTTACTCAGAACAGAAGCTGCAGGCTTGGCTCAGAGGTTCAAAGACATTGCCAGAGGATCTCAGGCAGGGCTAAGCCAGGCAGCAGGTTTCTACAGCTCAGGACTTTGATCCAGCCGTGTTCCAAGCCTAGACACTCACCCCTAGGACTATATGTCCAGTATTCAGGACAGGAATCTGACTTCACTCCTTTCCGTTCTACACAAGGAAACAGTAAGCATGCAGCAGTCAAAGGACGGCCTCGCAATTGTGCTCATAGAACAGTGTCTGTTGGCAAGTTCTGGGCTTCGATCCCTGCTGGCAAACCATGTCACAACTGGGATGTGCAAACCATGGTTTGCAGGTCCACTGCTGCTCCTGAAGTATCAGATTTAGCTGGAGGCAGAGTCAGCCTTGTTGCTAGTGCCTTTCCATCTGCAGCTTCACTAAATACATGATGTCCTCTAGCAGTTTAACAGACTGTCGTGCCCCTCAAAGTACTTACGTTGCAGTCTTCCCCCAGTGATTATATCTGAACTTGAGATCTATAAGTAGCTTAGATCAAGGCAGGCTACAAGGTGAGGCCTTCATGTGACGGGATGGGTGACCTCTAAAGAGGGCCACTCTCCCCTGCAGACACAGAAATAGGGCCCCCACCAGAAACCAAATCTCACGACCCTAATCGGCTATCTCAAGATCTGTGAGAAGAGCAGTCAACAACTGTGACTGATGCCTTCAGTCTATGGCCTCTTACAGCAGCTCGTGTGGCTCCTAGCCACACTACAAAGAGGACAGCAGGGCTCAGAGAAATGTGCCCACATTATCAAATATGGCTGGGACCCCAACACGTGCTGCTTCCTTTCTACCTCTGTTATTAATGATTTTGCAAAACTTTTGTTTCATCTTTTTTTTCCTATGGCACTGAGAGTTGACAAGCATAGGTAAGTACAGGCACAGGACGTGTACCAATCAGCCTACAGTGGGCAGGTGTACCAATCAGCCTACGGTGGGCATGGGTACCAATCAGTCTATGGTGGGCACGTGTGCCAATCAGCCTACAGTGGGCACGTGTACCAA